TCTATAAATAATCTGGAATTCTATCACTACTGAAATATTGTCTGTAAATTATCCAAAATCCCCTCACAATTGAAATATCATCTATAAGTCATCCAGAATTCTCTCACAACTGAAATACCATCTATAAATCCACAACTGAAATACCATCTATAAATCATTCAGAATTCCCTCACAACTGAAATATTGTCTATAAATCACCCAGAACTCCCTCACAACTGAAATATCATCTATAAGTCATCCAAAATTGAAATATCATCTATAAATTATTCAATATTCCCTCACAACTGAAATATCGTCTATAAATCATCCAGAATTCCCTCACAACTGAAATACCGACTATAAATCATCCAAAATTCCCTCATAGCTGAAATATTGTCTGTAAATAATCCAGAATTCCCTCACAACTGAAATATCATCTATAAGTCATCCAGAATTCCCTCACAACAGAAATATCATCGATAAGTTATCCAGAATTCTCTCACAACTGAAATATTGTCTATAAATAATCCAGAATTCCCTTACAACTGAACTATTGTCTATAAATCACCCAGAATTCCCTCACAACTGAAATACCGACTATAAATCATCCAAAATTCCATCATAGCTGAAATATTGTCTGTAAATCATCCAGAATTCCCTCACAACTCAAATATTGTTTATAAATTGCACAGAATTCCTTCAAAATTTAAATATCTGCTATAAATCATGTAGAACTCCCTCACAACTGAAATATCATCTGTAAATAATCCAAAATTTCCTCACAATTGAATTATTGTCTATAAATCGCACATAATTCCCTCAGAATTGAAATATTGTCTCTAAATCAACCAAAATTCCTTCCCAAATAAAATATCCTCAAAGGACCACCCAGAATTACCTCACAACTGAATTATTATCTATAAATTATCCAGAATTCCTTCACAACTGAGCTATTATCCATAAATCCCCTAGAATTCCCTCAGAACTTAAATATCCTCTATAAATCATTCAGAATTCTCTCACAACTAAAATATTATCTACAAATCACATTCCCTCACAACTGAAATCCCATCTAAGAATTAGCAAGAATTCCCTCAAAACAGAAGTATTATTTATAAACTATCCAGAATTCCTTCACAACTGAAGCATCCTCAAAGAACCATCCAAAATTTCCTCATAACTGAAATATCCTCAAAGAACCATCCAGAATTACCTCACAACTGAAATTTTCTTTATAAATCATCTAGAATTCCTTCATAACTGAAATACTGTCTGTAGATCATCCAGAATTCCCTAACAAATGAAATATAATGTATAAATCACACAGAATTCCCTCACAACTGAAATATCCTCTATAAATCATTCACAACTCCATAAAAATTGGAATATAATCTAGAATCATCACAATTCCCTCACAACTGCAATTTCATCTATAAATCAACCAGAATTCCTTCATAACTGAAATATCCTCAAAGAATAAATCAGAATTCCCTCACAACTGAAATATTATCTGTAAATCATCCAGAAATCTCTCACAATTGAATTATTATCTACAAATCACCCAGAATTCCCTCACAAGTGAAAGATCCTCAAAGAATAAATCAGAATTCCCTCACAACTGAAAAAATGAGGTAAAAAGGCCAGGGCTGGAGGGAGGTGAGGGTGAGAATTCCTTCAGGAGCTCCTTATGCTGAGGCATCATCTCCCCCCTTTAGAGGCTTTACTTTGTTCAGTCTCTATTCGAAATATTTACTAATAATACTCCTAATTTTATATTACATTACATTACATTACATTATATTATATTATATTATATTATATTATATTATATTATATTATATTATATTATATTATATTATATTATAATGTAATATAATATAGAGTAATGTAATATAATATAAATAAAATTATAATTATATATATTATATATAATATAGTTATAGTATATTATATATTATAATGTAATGTAATGGAATGTTATATTACATTATACTACATTACACTACATTATTATAACATAGTACAATATAATATAACATAGTGTAATGTAATATAATGTAATATAACATAACATAATGTAATACATAATGTAATGTAATATAAATATTATAATTATATATATTATATATAATTATAGTATATTTTAAATTATAATGTAATGTAATGCAATGCTATATTACATTACACTACATTACACTACATTATTATATTATATTATAACATAGTACAATATAATGTAACATAGTGTAATGTAATATAATGTAATATAATGTAAGTAATGTAATACATAATGTAATATAATATAAATATTATAATTATATATATTATATAGAATATAATTATAGTATATTATATATTATAATGTAATGCAATGTTATATTACATTACAATATTCTATTCTATTCTATTATATTCTATTCTAATCATAGTATAATATAACGTAGTATAATGTAATATAATATAGGATAATGTAATGTAACATAAATAATGTAATGTAATATAAATAAAATAAATATAATTATATATATTATATATAATTATAATATATTATATATTAGAATGCAATGCAGTATAATATTACATTATAATACATTATATTATATTATAATACGTTATATTATATTATATTATATTATATTATATTATATTATTACACTATTTTCTATGTTCAAACTAGGTATATTACATATCCTATTAACAACATTTCCTACTAATAATTTCCTAACAATAACGACCAACAGCAGCTCTTTAACAGCCACCAACAATCAACAACCACCAGCACAAACACCTAAGAACCCCCAGCTAAGGACAGCTAAGCTCCAGCAACACCCGGCGTGCAGGAAGGACCAATGCCCGGAGGGAGCAGCGCTCACTGCGTGCGCAGGGTGAAGGCGGCGCTGGTGATGGAGGTGGGCAGGTTAAGGCCTTTGGTGATCTCCCTCCAGATCTTCTTGTTGATGATCTCCACCAGCCCGCCCTTCTCGGTCACCAGCTTGTAGAGCATGTAGAGGTCCAGGATCTGCTTGGCCATGATGGGGATCCTGTTGATGGGAGTTCCTGGAGAAACAGGAGCACGGAGAGGGTGAGGGAACGGGCAGCCTGGGCGGATCCAGCTCGCTCCAATTTCCTCTTTTCCTGCTAGGAAATTCAGGGCATTTGTAGCCTGGCTCCAGGCCTTTCCATGGAAAACCCTTTTGGGATTTTGTCGGAAGGGAATTTGTAGGAATTCAAAATGTCCTTCGGACATTTTTGGATGTTCCAGGCCCAGGTCAGAAGCATTTGAGACCCTGGCAGGCAGCTGGAAACAGCTGGGATTTTGGGTTTGAACCATGGAATGATTTATCAACCTTGCAGGAAGAACAAGAAGTCACAAAACTTTAGATATTAGAGTAGAAATAGTCACAAAGTAAAGGGAAGAAGTTTTGAGTGCTGTACAGGGGGTTTTTGGTTTTGTACATGGGGGTCAGAGGATTTAAGATGGAGGGATCTGGGCCTGCCCTGTCCTCCCTCTTTCTTCTCCCTCACCTCCATGTTCTTGGTGATGTTGGCACCCACAGATTGGTTTGGAGTAGAAAATCACCATTTAATATAGGTAATAGGCATTGGG